CCCCCTTATCACCTGAATCTCCTCCTAGAGCACCATTGAGTTCTTTGTAACCAAATGTCTCTCAGAGGGGCGTGGGGAGGGGCTCCTTATTTTCATCTAAAGTAACAGACAGAGAATCAGCACTTTGGAAACAGAGGGGATTATGGGATGCTGCAATGATCTGTTTGGTGTTTGGAGCCAAACACTTCAGAGACATGTTTTGTATATATCTGAGGCCTATAATATATTGATGAAAGACAGTACAATAGGGGACCTTTAAGGACAAAAATAAAAAGGCACAATTAAGAAATAAATGTGTTGAATTCCACATGATTTATTCCAGCTTTGCCTGAGGGTTGATTTTCCTCGGGGGCGTGGCCTCCTTTACTTACCTTTGATATGCTAATCAAAGTCTGAGACAATTAATTTCCCCCTCAATATGCAAATTAGGTTTCAGTTAAACCCCTCATGGATTGATGCAGATTTAAAGTGCTGGAAGAAATACTCACATCCTTTACTGAGGGGGACAACGTAATACCACAGTGTGATATTCCTTAAACTATGTTTTTAAAGAATTGAATTAATTTATTATAGGAATATATTGGCAGCTGGCTCTGCTTTATTTCAAATGTATTTATTAGGATAAACCCCTTGAGATGGACCATCTCGTTTTCAAGGGGCTCCTGGGTCCGTTATGATTGGCCAACCGATGTCCCACCCCTTAGCCTATCACAAACTATGTGTTGGAGCACTAGCCAATAGAATTGCGAGTGTTACATAGTGATGTCCCTATGTTACTGACTTAAATAAAAGACTGCGAAATAGGCGTTTCAGTATAATAGGGCCTCTTATAATGAAGTAGAGTACAATTAGAGAGTAGCTTAAAATGGGAACACTAAGTAAAAGGTCCTTGAAATTAAACTTAAGTACACTCTGCTGTGATGTGTTCCATGTGTTCCTGTGATAGTACTTTAACAAATGTCTCACCCTGTGAATTTCTCTACACTTTCATTCATCTATTTCCAGACCAGTTCCACCCAGGTCTGGTTTGATCTTCCACAAGGTCCTAACACTCGTAAACTCCAAAGAATGTGTGATATTTCTTTGCTCTGATTCAATCCTGGCACACTCGCTTTCTTACCTGCGAAGTGTTGGGAGTGAACTGAATCGGCGAGGTTTTCATCTGATGTGATCTTGCCGATTCTGTCTGATCCCTGCATGAAAGAACAACAAAGCGGCAGATGGAGGAGTGAGTGTGCCGAACGGCGGCTCTCCACATCAGCGTGCAGGAGAATAATCCAACAGAGGAGAAGCCAAGGTTAGGCGTGAAAGTGAACACATCTCACATGTGGTGAAGAAGTATTCAGATCTTTCAGTACTCACAACACACTTTGAAAGTTCTCCACTACAAGTCACAGTCCTCCATTCAAAACCTTCCTTAAGTAAAGGCATACAAGTTTATAGAACCTTATATATTTTAAGTATGAAGAGGAAAAGTACTAATTATGTAGTCAAATTCTACCTGTCTGCGTTTCACTGTTATAGGATTTTGTGGATTTCAGATAGCTGCTGCACGATGCCTTTTGATGCTGCAGATGTTTAAAGATGTGCTGATTTTAACCCCTTTTTTTTATACTGTTAGGAAGTTTAATTTAAGATATTGCATCAAATTCCATAAGTTCTTCATATTTGTGCAGCCTGTTGTCTTAAGTAAGAATCATGCCTCACTAAAAAGTACATTTTTTACGAGTTTCTCTGAAAAACAGCCGTGTTTTCAGCGTAGAGAAGATGCATTCTACGTCCAATCCAAGAGGGTTTTTAACTAGTTTGCCTAAGGAAGGAGACTTTTCTCAACAAATTAGGAAAAACGTCATCGTCTAGTTTACCACCAACTTTCAAAATCACACTCTTTTGGAGAGAAATGGTTTTCACTGGACAGGAAGTGGATGAATTATTGTATTGTGTTCAATAATAAAAGTGAATTAAATAAATATGTATTCCTCTCTGTGATGAAGTTGCAAAAAATAATAGAGTTGCATTCGATGGAAAAAATCCAAGACCTTGAATTTGTGCTAAATGCATTCAATGAAAGTGCATTATTTGGTTTTGATCAATATTGAAAATGTATAATCTTGTCTTTGTGTCAGTCTGAGGGGAACTGAATAGTGTAGAGTGTAAAACCTGATGTACCTTCTCCATATCGTCTCGACTGGTGGTGTGACTGATGACGTCGCCCTGCTGACAAAACATCGGCTTCGAGGTCTTACAGTCGAAGGAGAGCCGGCGCTGCGGCACGGTGATCATCTCGTTCCCGTCCACTCTGCATTTATCACACACAGATAACATCTCGGTAAGGATGTCGAAACTCAACCAAACTAAATGGTGGCGTTAGCAGTATTATCAGAAGTGTTTTTGGGTATGAATACCGAATGTAGTCCCAGATTAGATTTAACGGTGTTCAGTGATATTATTTTAATATCTGTTTGTTTTCTTGTTTCTTGTCTTAAATATTTGTCATTATCGATGTTTCAAATCATATCTTCTCGTATCGTAACATACATTGTTCGTATTTTAATATAATTATAAATTGTTCTTATTTATTTGCAGTTCATTGCAGAGCAGGGCAAATGTATTTGTTCATGGCCTCTCTGTGGCCATATAGTGGTTATGTTTAAGTAGTAGTCTTGTCTGTAGGATGTGACCTGATTTTGTTTTGTCATTTAGTTTTGGTGAACTCTTGACTGTCTTGCTGTTTGTACTATATATTAGGAACCCCTTGAAAACTGGGTGGTTCATCTCAAGGGGTTTATCCCTCATAACTTAATATCAGTTAACATCTTGTATCGTAAATACGCTTATTTTTCTTTCAGCCAAGCTAGAGGAGTAGATCAAATAAGCATATTTTAAAAGCTGAAAAAATGTCTTCCTCCTCCTCTAATTGAACAGTTTGTTACCCAGCCGGCCCTCACCTGTTGAGCAGCTGCTGCATGAAGTTGTCTGAGCGTCCCCCACGGTACATGACGGCCAGCTGTCCCTGAGATTGGTCCATCACCACCTCGCAGGAGTGACCTCTGCCCGACCTCTCCACGTACGCCCTCTCCTCCTCCAGAGCCCTCCGCAGCCCCTCCGCCTTCTCCATCAGCGTGGAGATGTTCAGGCCCTCCACTCCTTCTTTACACCTGCTGGCCACCTTCACAGGGTCCCTGCCCACCGAGGGGATGCTGATCTTCCACTCCCGCTTCTCATTCACTTTCGTGGCGTCCGTTTTGCGCAGCGCGGGCAGTTTGCTCTTCTTCAGGCCGAACCAGCTGGCGATGCCGTTGGAGGCTTTCTGCTTCACCTCGGTGGGCTGCGGCCCCCGGTCCTGCACCTGCAGCTTCAGCATGTTCTCCTCGATGCCCTTCATCACTTTCTGCTCGATGGCGGACGTCGGGCTGGTGGCCGGCGGCGGGGGCTTCTCCACCTCCGACGTTGGAGGTCTGGGAGGAGGAGGCGGCAGGCTGTCTCCAAACATCGGATTCTTCTTCCCTTTCCCGCCGATCTTGGTCCTCTCCTCCGATTTAGACGAGTAACGAGGCGACTCCGCGGGTTTCGCTGCTTTGTGGGCGGACGGGCCCTGGCATGGTTTGGACGGTGACTTTGGGGGGATTTTATTGGGGCTGTTGCTGCTGTGAGGGACTGGTTTAAGGTTATAGGCCAGATTCAGGGAGCCAGGACATTTGATGTTGTTGCGTAGCACCTGGGGGGCGTCGGCATTAGGGGACGGCAAACCAATTTTACTCTTGGGGCCTTCGGCTTTGGTCACGCACAGTTCTTGTTTCACCGCTGTAGATTTCACAGGGTGTTCATACAGCTGAGACAACCCCGGGTATTTTAAACCGCCACTACTAACTTTGCTTTTACTATCCAACGACTCGGTGTATTTTGAATGTCTCTGCTCCTCTTTCTGGAGCTCCATCGGCCTCTCCTCTGTTTTACACCTTTCTTCTGCGTAGGTGCCCTCTTCCACCGGCCTCAGACCCACCTGTAGATCCTCTGAACTCCTCAGCTTCCCTAGAGCAGCCAGCCTGTCTTTGAAAGCGTGGTGACTGGAGTCCGGCTGGGGCCTCGCTGCCACCGCTGCAGGCCTCTTAGGGATGGAGGAGTCCGTCCTCCTGGCTGGAGGAGGAGGAGGCGGCGGTTGCTGGGCAACATCGGACCTCTGCGTCTCCCTCACATCCACCTCTTGTTTCTCTCTGGTCTGTGAGAAGTTAAGTCTTCCCTGTGTGAGCTTACCTGGAGCGGACGCACCGGGCAGATTGTGCTGGTTCACCCACACCGGGCTGTCCGAGTCCTCATCGTCTGACGAGGACTCGGACGAGGAAGTGGTCGACTCCTTTCTCTGCGGAGGAGGAGGGTTCAGGACACTTTCTGGCAGCGACTTGACGAGCTTCCTCTCACCGCCGTTCCCCTTTGTTTGAGATGGAAGCGTGGTTCTTTTCTGGCCTTGTGTTGGTTCCTCTTCTCTGGACATGACACAGACATTTTCATAATGAGGGACCCTCTGTGCTATTTTCGGTGAGGAGGAGGATGTGGAAGAAGGAGCGGCCATCTTTGGAGCAGCTTTAGGCGCTGAGAGGCTGCTGTAGCTTACTTCCTTAACGGGCGGGGAGCAGACGTCTTCAGACTGAGGAGGGGACGTCGGGGCGGAGTGTGTTGCCGGGTAGGACTCGGACCTGGCGGGGGGTGGGGGGGGCTGCCGGCACCTCTCTGTGGTGGTGGCTCTGCGGGGGGGAACAGGGGAGTGGTACACCTCATAGTTGTTGGTGCGGCAGGGGATCCTGGAGCTGCGGGTGAGCTGCGGGCTCAGCTTCACGGCGGACGTGGAGGGTTGGGACTTCTCTCCCATCGTGGGAATCTTCAGGAACTTGAGCATTTTGGACGGAGAGTTCATGGCGGCGGTTTTGATCTCGGTGAGGCAGGACGGGCTGGGGCTCACGGAGGCGCTGGCCCTGACGGAAGAAGCCTGCGGATCTGGGACGTCTTTCTCCGGGACTGCTGACAGGTCGTTCGACAGGGAGGGGCTGACGCCGTTGTGAACACCGTCGCTTGTTTCCATGTCATTGTGGAGGATTTGTGCGTTTTCCTTCACAGAACTGGTCAGGTGTGATGTGGGATAGAAGCCGGTGAGCTCTTCAGAGACATTTAGACTCTCAGAGCTCTCCTGCTCCACGTCCATCACCTCCAGGCTCTGATCAGGTTCTGGTACTGAGACCCGTGCTGCAGCGCCTGCCGGTGGCTGCTGGGCTTCATTCTTGGTGCATTGTTTGGACGGGGGCTCTGCTGTCCTGCTCTTACTGAGACATTCGCTAATAGCAGCTGCAGGAACGACATGGCTCTGGGGGGCTTTTGAAGGACTACAGACGTGGTTGCAAGGTTTCGGAGGACTCTCAGGGCTCCTCTTGCAGTGTAAACAGCAGGTGTTCCCCGCCTCACACTTCACTCCCCCGTCACCGTTCACATGTTGGTGTGAGTCGGTGTCTGAGCGGGAGCAGTGGCAGTGTGTGTGGTGGGGTTTGCACGGTAGTGGGAGGGGGTCTGCTGCTGTAGCCAAAACAGCCTCTGTGGACATGAGCACCTGGCTGTAGTCGCAGAAAGACAAACTGGTGGTGGACGGGTGGAACTTCAGAGGGTCCGTTTCCTCCATCTTGCGGAGGACCTCCAGGATGTGTGCTTTCTTCTTGAAGAAGGGAGAGAGGGCCTCCATGGAGGTGGCGGGGCCACGAGGGCCCGGGGAGGCATGTTGTGTGCGGTAGCCATTTCCCTTTAGACAGAAAGAGATTTCAATTAGAATTAAATTCATTGCTGCAGCTTCAGTGAATGTTAGAGAAGACATATTCTGCACATTTCCAGGTTCATATTTCTATGTAGTGTCTCTACTGGGACATGTCTCCAGGCTTTAATGTTCAAAAAGCTCTTTATTGTTCTCATACTGTCTGTGCTGCAGCACCTCTTTTCACCCTCTGTCTGAAACCAGAGCCCAGTCTGCTCTGATTGGTTAGCTGGCCGGCTCTGTTGTGATTGGTCAACAGCTTAGAGATGTCCAGCCGCTTAGCCTACAATGTGTTTGAGCGCTAGCCAATAGAAGCGATAGTTTGATATAGTGGTGTCATTATGTTTCAGAAGTAAACAATGGATTCCAATGGAGGCATTTCAGGCCGGGGGGGGGAGTGTTTGAGAGAGAATATATAACACAATCCAGGATAGGGAGAACTCCTAAAAGCATAATAGGGCCTCTTTAAACAATTAAGTTCACTAAGACCTTTAGAGTATGTGCGTGCAGGAAATGAGTGCAGAGCTGATTAGCTTTTTAAAGCACAATAGTGGAAAACAGAGAAAATTGTAACGACGTCACACAGGACCCACACAGAGGGTTTAATGTAATCCCACTGTTTCACTCTTGATGTTTTGCAATAATCACCTTGGCTTGTGCTTCAGTCTGTGCAGGCTCCACCTGTTTTGCAGAGTCATTGTGCAGCTGTGCATTGTAGTCTGGGAGGGGTCCCGCCTGGACCTGCAACGGGAGAATCACGATGCAATTATGACGACACTGTATACACTACGGGTTATTGTATACACAGACAACTAGGAGCTACATTGTCCCGGCATACAACATAGAGCAGAAGGGAAAAGCCCAGATGATATACATGACTGGCTCTGCAAAGAACGAACTGGGGTGGAAAAAAAAGCAAATTAAGACTCAAAGCCGTGCACTTTGCATTGTAAGTCAAGTGCAGTACTTCTCATATGTTTTATGACACATTAAACTATGACTTTGTTATGACTTTTAATGACATGCTATAGTATGATGTTTTTATGATACTGTGCTTTCATGATAGTGATTCCTTGATTTATAGTTGGGTTTAATGACTTATAAATGTAACTACCTGGTAGTTAAAGTAGTTAAAATGACCTTCAACTTCACCTATGACATTAAAACTTTAAAACGAATATTTGTATTATAGAATATCACATACTGTTTTATGTCTTAACTTGCACGCCAACAACATACATACATGTCTATCCATCAAGACGATAGATATAGTCTTTGTTATTCCAGAGAAAGATGTTTTCCTCGTTAGAAACTGGTGCCTACATTACCCATAATGCAACTTGAACACCAACAGGTCGTTAAACAATTCAGGTGTTTCAAACACGTATTGGCTGATGTATGGAAGGAGGCTACAGAGATCTGGTTAGCTCACTTATTTCTAACTCTATACACAGATGGAGTATTTTTTGTACATTGTTGCAGTAGTACTTTAAGGATAGTGAAGTATCTGATTAGAGCAGTCGGAAGGAGTTTAGTTTAAATATGAAACACAGTCATTGATAAATCATGAGTGGATTTACCTGGTAGTGAGCCGTGGGGTGGTTGGGCAGTTTCTGCTGAAAGAGCTCACAAAGTGCTCGGTTCTGTCGCTCCAGGTCGAACACCAACATCTTCAGCTTGATGCACTCCTCCCTCAGATCCTGATCACACACACACACACACACACACACACACACACACACACACACACACACACACACACACACACACACACACACACACACACACACACACACACACACACACACACACACACACACACACACACACACAGTTAGACAACAGCTGATACAGGTAATTAAAATACAGATACAGAAACTGAAGTGTGGCTTTATGTTACCTTTTGATTCAGCAGAGCTTGGACTACGTGGTTGGCCACCTGAGAGGAGAGGATTTTACCGACAATAAATAAATTGAGAATACATTTTATGTATTTTTTGTAAAGATGATATCCTGCAACATGAACTCACCTCATCCAAACACCTCTCATAAGCCTCTCTCTGACTCTCATTGGCCAACATCAGAGCCGAGTTTTCTGCCTGTGAGGAAAATATTTAAAAAAAAAGAATTTTATTTACCACATTTAATCATAAAAAATACACATTCAGTGTAATCATGAAAGCTTCTCCTATTTGTACAAAATAAAATAAATAATATTTATTAAACAATGATACTGTTAAAAAAAGGAAATATTGGACTGAAAAATAAATAAATATATTATAACAGAAATAATAGTTATTTAGCAAGTTATGGTATTTTACTATTTTCAGCACACATGTTATTTGGTAGACTTTGACAAATTAAATGTAAAACATTACAATGCAATTAAATAACAAAAGAAAAACTTCCTTTCAACACAACAACAAATCTTTTCATAATCTTCCAAAATACAAGGAAAGTTTAAGTATTTAAAAAATATATATACTTTTAAATATTTTTTGTACCAACGTGGCAGCATTACGAGTCTCAGAAAATCACATTTAATTAACTTAAATGTTTCCGTCGAGAAGATTAATGCCTTAGAATGTCTTGTATATGTTTCGTTTGTTGTTATTATTATTTATTTGATTTTATTTCAGTGTTGTTTTTTGTGGTTAAGGTCTGTTTTTTTTCTGGTATTGTTCACCCTGGTAGAATGGTTTCTTTTACTCCCTTGTGCATGTACATGTCAGGGTCTATGTATGTATGTATGTATGAATGTATGAATGTATGTATGTATGTATGTATGTATGTATGTATGTATGTATGTATGTATGAATGTATGTATGTATGTATGTATATATGTATGCTTTCTGTGCTTGACAATGTCACAAATAAATCATATATAAAACAATTTAAAAAATGGAATGTTTCCTCACCTCCAGCTCCCTCAGGCGGTCCACCAGCTCGCTGCTGTTGTCCTCCATCAACGACTCCACGTCTCCCTCCTCTCCTTCCTCGTCCGACCCGAAGTCTTCGTCACACATTCTCTGCTCTGTCTCATCAGACATCGTTCTCATCTGAAACACAGAGAGGGAAACTTCAACTATCACCGTCACAGTCTTTAGAGAAATCAAATGGTTCCCTTCAAGAAACATCTGCTGCTCTGGAGGGAGATCGACATAATGAGAGTGAGTCACAGCAATTATGTTTCACTTTTACTGCCCTGTTTTTATGTTGTGTTCTGTTGTCCTCTACACGACACAACTAATGACTTTTGATTCAAATCACACATCAGATCAGGGTCAAACACCTGGTAGAATTCCTCACAGGTGAGCGGTCACAAGCTGTTCCTGCTCCTACGCAGCAATCTGTTATTTAGTCAATTAAATAATCCTTTCCTTCCCGAATCAAAGTAAAAATCCATTTCTGAAATCTTTCCAAATTAATGATACATTAACCCCCACTTTGTACAGAGAGCTAAAATGTCAAAGTCACTATAATGATATCTTGATCAGAGCCTGCTCAGCATGGGTTATGTTTTAGAAGTTGTAGACTATAATACAATCAGACACCCTTTACTTATGAATATAGAACTAAACATATTATCATGAATGTAGAAAGACTCTTTTCTGGTTTCCAAGAGTAACACGACTTACTTAAATTAAAATCATTGGAAGGAAAATAATCTATATCAAACGTTTACTCTAATAAATCAAATGTTACAGGTCAAAAAGATCCATTGTCATTTAAACACATTTCCTGCTCAACAATTGCATTGACTAAATAATTCTAACAATAGGTTATAATTAGGCCAACATTAAAGGTTAAGAATGATATTAATAAAACTGGCACGCAACAACAGTTAAAGTAAATACCGGTACTCAATTTTCCACGCCACATGTAAATATTCTCCTATAGTAAAGAATTTTAAACATGTTATGGTATAACACACACACTATACAACAATACATATCTTCAAATCACTTATCATAACCGACTTAAAAATAAGATATTGTGCTTTTCCTAATAACGGTGATCGAATAACTAACAAATAGGAAATTACAAAGAATACTTAAACGTCACCTATTATGCAAAATCCACTTCTGCATGTCTTCTATACATAGACATTTGTCCCCTCTGTGGAAAGAGACTCTGAAAGTTACAGGAAAAAAGATTCTCTCTCTTTTTGTCCTGATCCATTTATATAAAAACCTGTCTGAAAATGAGCTGATCAGATTTTGGCCACTTTANTGCAAAATCCACTTGTTCATGTCTTCTATACATAGACATGTGTCCCCTCTGTGTAAAGACTCTCTGAATGTTTCATGAAAAAAGATTCTCTCACTTTTTGATCCATTTATATAAAAACCTGTCTGAAAATAAGCTGATCAGATTTTGGCCACTTTATGATGTCATAACGATTTTTTGTCTTGTGTAACCATTAGCCAATCACCAACCAAGGTAACCTCCCCCCCCCCCCCCGACAACACCATGATGACAATACCGCAGCTCACAAAGCAGCTGGCAGCTCTCTCTGTCTCTCTGCCTCTACAGAGGATTTACATTCAGACATTAAGACACATTTATTCATTGAGCAGCTTAGTGCTGTTTGTCAGATTAAAAAATATATGGCATTAAAAGAAAAACGAGCTTTAGATTAGAGCTGCAGGATTTCGTGGATGTCCAGACATATTTCAGGTTCTCATATGTGACGATTTGATGCTTTTCTCTGAGTAAACTGAATGCATCAGGACGTCGCGCTGATAGGCACTCTGGGAAATTGTATTTTTCCCAATGTTTTGACATTTTATAGACAGGTTGATTAATTGAGCATTGCTAGTTGCATCCCTGACTCAGAAACACCCACACAGTCGACGAAGACAAATGATGACTTTAATTGTCCCACACGTAGCATGTAACGTATACACATACTTAAAATGTGAAACCACATCAAGGCAATTAAAAGTGCGTTACGCAATGGGAGATAGATGCATTACGATGAGACATAAAATAACTGCAAGACAATAAGAAAAATGGTTTAAAAATAGATTTAAAAAAAGGAATCTTATAAGAAAATAAGTGAACAAGGCAACAGTGCAGTGAGAGGTAGAAAAGTGTTTTTCAATGCAAGAATTTCAAATCATTCTGTAGTTTCAGCTTCTCTTATGTGAGAATCGACTTTGTTTCCCCGTTTCATATCAGAGGGTGCTAGATATTCTTGGGTTTACAGACAAAAAAAGACATGTCGTGTGCTCATCTTGGACTATGCTACCTACTTATTCAACTTAAATGAATATCTTTCTTACAATTCTCTGAAGTTCTACAGACTAAACAGGGATTTACTGAGTAAAATAATAGTGGTTGCAGTTTCATTGTTTTATAAACCAACAGTAGAATTTCAATTCAATTCACAGGAAGCCGGTGCTGGAGTGATGAATAATGACTGAAACCTTTCATCAGTCCATCTTCTCTATGATCGTATATCAGTCAGACTTCAGCAGTGGAGTTCTGGAGAAATGGGACTCGTTTTAAGAGATGCTGCTTCTCTCTGGTGGCATTTTCACTGAGGTCTTGTGACGTTAGCTCTGCACATCAAAGCAAACCGCACAGCAGCAGCAGAACCACATCTCATGTTTATATTTAGCTGCACTTTTGTTTGTCTTTTGCTCCACGCTGTAATTTCAATTCGAACGTTCCCACCGAGAGATCAGTGCTGCCCCGAGCTTTAATGTGCATTAGTGAGGAGAGAAAACCGCTGGTATTTATAAACCCGCTCGGTATCCAAGGTCAAACGCTAATATCTGCTTCCGTTCTTAGATGGGCTGCATCGATCGGCCTTCCATTATACGTCTAGATTTGGCTGCCATTCAGTCAATCGCAGCTCAATACATAAACGCGCTGCACTCTAGATGTTGCTGCTCAGGTTTTTCAGGCTGCGTTAGAAATCCACAGGCCAGTGACGTTCAATAATCTTCCTGTAAACGCTTTGCAAACAGCTCGGGTTACACGAGGCGCGGCAGACCTCTGTGATCTCTTATGAAACTATTGGACATTTCCCATTAGTGAGTTTTACACTCTCTGTTTGATACCATAGCCAACACGTTAACCTGAGCCCACAGGATGCATCACATCTGCAGCTAACGGTTATTTAAAATGATCCATTTACCTGATGATTATTTTCATAATTAACGGATTTATCTATTGGTCTTTAAACATTTAAAAAATGCTCAGTATAAGTTCTCGGTTTTTCACATCAAAAAATCTACTTTCCATATGTTTTCAGTGGTGTTGATGGGAATGAGGAATCTGGTGGTTTGGGCTCTTTTGCTTGAAAAATTACTTAAATGATTAATGTATTACACAAGTAATGGGATAGGACTGCAAATAATGATTATTTAAAATTATACCTTTTTTCATCTTCTGATTATTCGCTGTATTTACGGGTCTATCTATTTGTCTTTAAACAGTCTTGTGATAACGATTAAGAAGCTATTTTTAATACTTGAGAAGCTGGTATGATTGTCTCTTTTTCCCTTAAATAATTCATGGATAAACATTGTATTCATTATTTGTAGTCACATACTATTGATATTGATTTGCTCTGTTGACAGTTACATCCATAAAGCGATCCCGAAACAACAAACAACAAATAAATAAATAAATAGATGAACAAACAAAGAAAACAGAATAAACTCAGGGGTTGTTTTCAGCTAAAAAATGGATGATATATTGCTCTCCGAGTTAATATGGGTTTTCTTGAAGCCTCATTTGCCAAGTTCTGTAAACCATTGCAACCTCACATGACATTGAAAACTGATTTTTTTTTTAGGAAGCACTTTTATTTCCCACTTAAATGACAAGGCTGCTGTAAATGTGTATAATTATCATCAACACATCTTATGAAAGGACCAAAACCAACTCCGCCTTTTGTCCGTCTCTCAGTACGTTCTCACTTTTCTGTCTGTGGCTCTAAGACCATTCATTCCTGCTGAAGACATCAATCTTTTCTTAGCAGCTATAATCAATATTTTCACACTGACATCATTTGAATGTGTATGTGAAAGGAGTCATTTGTGGTGGCAAACCCAGAGAGACTCAACACACAGCTGTGCAGTTCCCTTCAGCTGCTATACAGAGCGTTCAGCTTCTTCCAGCTCATTGTTTTTTGTTTTTTATGGACCACAACTTTATGTTTTGTGTCTTCCTCGGCAGCAAACAGCAGACAGACACAGTGAGAGAGCAGCTGGTGATCATAGGGGAGCATTTAGCAGCTTAAGAGAAAGACATAGGTGGAGACCAAAAACGGAGCTAAAAGAGAGTGAATATTGGACTTACATTTATCAAGAAGACTCAAACACAGCTCTCAATACATGATAATGTAATTCAACAGGTCAGAGTTATATGAAAATATACTTATTTGTTTTAAAAAACACCCCAAAACAGCTGGTCACTTTGATCAAACAGCCCTAATAGGAGGAAAAGATGACATGTTAGGGTCTATTTTCTGCTGTGGATGAATCTACATTTGGTGCTCTGGTGAATATATGTGGCAGCAGCTGGGATTGAGTCCAAACTAGTGTGTGTGTGTGTGTGTGTGTGTGTGTGTGTGTGTGTGTGTGTGTGTGTGTGTGTGTGTGTGTGTGTGTGTGTGTGTGTGTGTTCATGGTAATAAAGGAGCATGTCACCCCGTGCAGCAGTGTGACTGGTATATGTGTTTCAGTGGACAACAATGGAGCTTTTGGCCAGAAGGACGATAAATCCGGCTTTGGATACAGAGACTCGTTTGTTTGGACGAATATTGTTAGACTTGGTCTCAAAAAGTGTGATAATTGAACCGAGTATTTCATAGTTTTTCGACCGCTTAATTACATTTTGTGTTACTTGTAATTTGCTGTTGTTTGTTTGTTTGTGTGTGTTTGTGTGTCACCTGAAAGCTGTGCCAGCTCCTGATTGGCCTGCAGCCACAGAATCAGTCTCATCTCATCAGCTTTAATGTGTCCTTAAGATGTGGAGGTGGATCTGGGTCCACCACACACACACACACACACACACACACACACACACACACACACACACACACACACACACACACACACACACACACACACACACACACACACACACCTGGAGCCATGCCTAGCAGACGGGTCCTCAGCCATATGTCCTGCAGAGTAACACGCTCACAGACTGCAGCTCAGCATGGGTTCTGCAGGTTCAGCTGTGGAGATTAAAAAGAGAGAGTGTCCTGGAGTTTGGTCCATATTTTTGCATCCACTTGTATCTTTATCCCCTCAAACATATCTCGATTTCAGTCCAAGAGCAAACACACTTTTCAAACTGGGGACTTGGTGAAGCTGCAACTTTTATGGACACCTATGTTTCTCCAGAGTAGAGTTGCAACAGTTCATCAACTATGAGTAAATTGAAAGAAAATAATCACCAACTATTTGAAAGTTGATTAATAGTTAAAGTAATTCCACGCATAATCTTGTTTTCAGCCTCTCGTATATAAATGTCCTGCTTTTATGTCAAATTAAACTGAATATGTTTGAGTGTTGGACGTACAAAAAAGACATTTACAGAAGTTTAGAAAGTAGAATAGGCATTCCTCACTGGCTTCTGTCCTTAATGGACCTAACCTAGAACAAAAAAGCAGCGGATTAATCAATAGTGTAAATAATCTCTGGTTGCAGCTCTGCAGGATTATCAGGTTTGCTCTGTAATCCTCCCTAAACAGTGAGCAGTGAGTAAACAGGCAGCTGCAGTGCAGAGGCCTCGGCCTGTAGACGTGTCGAAGAGAAGCTCTGCGGCCGTCAGACAGAATAGAAAGCGTGAGATAATAATGTTAGTCAGCGTGTGAGACGGTGATGTGAAGCAGACCTCCGCTCCGTTAAATGGTGTTTGATTTGTTTTGCTTGAATGAAGCAGACGGGTGGGGTTTACTGCAGCAGGAGGATTCAGACACAGACAGTAGGGTTGGGCTGACACTGAGAATAAATCATCCAACATTTTTGATTAATCGTTGAAGTAATCCATGATGCAAACGTTTGCCTTCTCATCTGAAATGTGGGGATTTTCCGTCTTTCTCTGTTTGAAATCAGATTAGATTACTGAGACAACAAACACAGTAATGTGGAATCAACATAAAGAAGATTACTGACGCTGATTGATAGCTGTTTTCCCGTCTGAAATACTTTTTTCCGATTATTCCGACCCCACATGAATGCAACGCAAATGCTCTATTTTCTACAATTTAAACCAAAGTAAAACCTTGTACATGCACCCTCCCGTGATTCAGATTCAATCCAAAATGTAATGCGGTTTTCCTTAGCCCGTGCTTCACCCTTTCAGAAAGTTTAATACAAAATAAGCCCAGTAGTGTTTCTGTTATCCTGCTGACAGACAGACAAATCGAGCCCAAAACATAACGTCCTTGGCAGAGGTTACCTACTATCTTTGTGTATTGGACTGTGGGACAAAATAGGACATTCAAGATGTCACCTTGCACTTTGGGAACATTTTGTCTAAAGGATTAATCAGCTAAATAAACTCCAACAGAACTTTGAAATGCTTTCTTGTCACTCTCTTGGCACCGCAGCTTCAGAAGGAGATATCCCTCTCTTCACTTTTCAAAACCCTGTCAGTCGTATTGATTTATTTATTGAATCTCTCTGAACAGCGTCCTCTTACAGTGCAGCCGCCAACGTCGAGATGAGACGCCCTGAGATCAAAATGTTGATACAGTTATTATTACTGTGCGCTCCCAGCAAGCAGCTTCTCCAGCAGCAGCAGCAGGGGTTTCATTCTGCCCTGAGTTTCACCTCACAGGCTGCACTAAGTTATCGCTGGAGTTGGTTTTCAGGGCTTTTAAATATAATGTGTTAGTTATTGGATTACCGTTATTAGGACAAGCACAATATTTTAGCTTAAAGGTCCCCTATGATACTGTTTTTCATCAATATATTATTGGTCTCAGATATATACTAAACATGTCCCTGAAGTGTTTGGCTCCAAACACCAAGCAGATCATTGCAGCATTACCCATAATCCCCTCTGTTTCAGCCCTGTTTCAAAAGAGCTGATTCTCTGTCTGTTACNTGCCTCATATCCCTCCATTTCACTTCCCGTTTCAAAAGGGCTGATTTGGGGTATAAAGCTTAAAAAATTATAAACTCCTTTTTTATTTTTTTATCAATTTTTTATAATTTTTTAAGCTTTATACCCCAAATCAGCCCTTTTGAAACGGGAAGTGAAATGGAGGGATATGAGGCATGGCTAGAATGGGTGATCTGTTTGGTATTTTGAGCAAAACACTTCATAGACCTGTTTTTTATATATTTTTATATATCTGAGACCTATGCTATTGCCTAAAAATAGCATGATAGGTGACTTTTAAGTTAAGGTTTTTTGCACATTTTTTCCACCACTGTCGCACACTGCGTGGGGAAATGCACATAAAACAAATCCGAGTTTCATACTTCAAACGAGAGCTATAATTGTAAACAAAACTACTCATTAAGAACAACCTAAACTAGTGTTAATTCAATTAAAAGCTCTAAAATTAAGTTACTTTGTATATTTTAAAACAGCACACATCATGCAAGTCAGAAAGAAATGCCTAGAAGTATCTGAAAGTTGTTTAAATGAGAGAAAAAGTCCAAATGATTTGAGATTAAAATGTATATTTGAGAAACAAAGCGTCAGGAATAATGTAGAAATTAACTGTATTTCTGGTAAATGGGTGAATTTCAAAAATCTTAAAGGTGAATTTACAGATATATTGTACAAATGTATGATTAGAATCTCATGTTGGCATAACTAAAGTAGAGATACTGTAGCAATTTACAAATTCTTTACATAGGGAATAGATTTGAAATGGCTCATTAAAACATGTGTCTGTTCCTCAAAACTGTTTCAGAGTCATGAAATTGTGGGAAAAGTAAGAGCTGCACGACTTTGACACAGCTGCTTTTTGTGTGACTTCCGTTATTTGCTTCTGATTGTAATTGTGATTCCACCCGCTTCCTTTCAGCACGAGGTAATTGCGGTGTCTGAGAAGGTGATTGTGCGTCTGGAGGACTTGGTGAAGTGGACGGTACCAGACTTCTCGGGATGGACCCACTGTCTGAAGGCCGAGCCTCTCAAAGCCTCCGTGCTCCGGGAGCTGGGGACCAACGGGAGGCGAGAGGCCCTCCATCGGTACCGCGAGAGCACACTGACCAGCGGACTCAACTTCAAGGATGTCCAGCGGGAGAGAGCACAGCTTGGTGAGAAACCTCTATTTATTTCACTCTTTCCTTAAAGGTCTCCTATCATACTGTTTTTCATCAATATATTATAGGTCTCAGATATATACAAACATGTCTCTGAAGTGTTAGGCTCCAAATACCAAACAGTTCATTGCAGGGGTGAGAGAGTTACCTTGGTTGGTGATTGGCTAATGGTTACAGGGCGCCGTAAGGGGGTGAAAAGTTAGGACCATTCTAAGGGCCCGTGACTGACAGGGGCCCAAACTATTTTAGAACATTAAGAAAAACATTTGTAAGTAACCAATGTGATATCTTTTCATGGGGCCCAAAAACCCTGGCGGCGCCCCTTACACAAGCCAAAAAATCGTTATGACATCATAAAGTGGCCAAAATCTGATCAGCTCATTTTCAGACAGGTTTTTATATAAATGGATCAGGACAGAAAGAGAGAGAATCTTTTTTCCTGAAACTTTCAGAATCTCTTTACACAGAGGGGACGCATGCTTATGTAAAATACATGAAAAAGTGGATTT